AGCTAAAATTTCCTTAGCTATATATAGTAGCATAATTTTTCTGACTATTATTCAATTTTCCTGAATGGAATCTAACAAGATATTCTTGTTTATTATTTGGAGAAGCCTGTTTAAGGATACCTCTGTAATCTACTTCTGAGGCATCAGTCTCAATATTTTTTTCTCAATTTGGGTTAGCTAGCATGAGACAAGGAAGATTAGTGACTTTGTTCTTAATTTTCTGAACAGCCTGGGTATGATTCTCAGTCCAATGTTTTGGATTTTTCTTAAGTCTATCATATAAGATAGCAGTATCCTGAGCAAGATTTTTTATATAGGGGGATATATAATTTAAACTACCTAAAAATCTTTGAAGCTGAGTTTTATCAGTCAGCTGGTCAGGGAATTTAGAGGCAAATTCAATACTTCTATTAATAGGGATAATTTTCCCTTTTTCAATATTATGACCAAGAAATCTCACTTGTGTTTTAAAAAGTTGCATTTTAGGTTTAGATATAACTAAACCGTTTTGAGTAACAATTTTCTGGAAAATGTCCAAGTGTTTAAAGTGGGTTTCAATATTTTTAGAAAATACCAAAATATCGTAGATATAAACAATGATAAAATCACTATAAGGATTAAAAATATCATTCCTAATATTTTGAAATTCTGAAGGAGCATTCTTCAGACCAAAAAGCATAATTTTCCATTCATATTGACCAAATGGAACATTAAAAGTTGTTTTATAAATATCTTCTTCATGAATTTGGATTTGCCAATATTCAGATTTTAAATCAATTTTTGAAAAAATCAAGGCATCATGAAGCCTATCAAGTAAATCCTTCTTACTAGGGATTGGGTATCTAATCCATTTTAAAGCAGTATTCAAAGGTTTATAGTTAATGACTACTCTGGGAACACCTCTTTCTTGCTCATCATGTTTATTAACATAGAAAGTTGTGCAAGACCATGGAGATTTGGAGTGTCTTATTAACCCTTTATTTTGTAAAGTTTCAATCTCTTTTTTACATAGCTCAAGATAATCCTTATTAATTTGACAAGGTCTAGCTTTAGTCGGTATGTTTTTCTCATCAAAATTATCCTCATAAGGAAGTGAGACAATATGTTTTTTTCCTATCCCAAAAAGCATTTGGATGATCATTACAGATTTGTAAAGAAAACTGATTATTAAGAAGTTTTATCTTATCCTGTAATTTAGAATTTTGAAGAGTTTCATCAAGATTTAAAATATTTATCTCTTGTTTAAGAAAATTAATTTGGTTTTCTTTATGCTTTATAAAAGAGTCTTTTATTTGATTAAGAATTCTAGTAAATGGTTCAGTAATGAAATGAAAATTAATTTCTTTGAAAGGTTCCTATAAAACCTTCTTCATCAATTCTTTTAATTGGAAAGATTTTCTTTAAAAAAGGGGGTTCCAAGTATAACTTGGTTAGTGATATTTTTGACTGGTAAAAAATTAGTGGGGATGCAAACTTTATTCTTGCAAATAAACGATTTTGGAAGCTTAAAATAAATTTCCATTTTCTGACCATTTGCAGAACTTAAAGAATGGGTTGTTTTATGAAAGTATTTTGTAGGAATAACTCATTCCTGAATGCAATTTAAATCTGCACCACTATCAACAAGTGCTATAAAATCTTTTTTATAATCATGATCAATAAGAAGAGAGATTTTTATAAACCATTTCTAAAGTTCCTAAGAAACTATCATCCTCAGGAAGAGTATTTTGGTAATCAAAATTAATAAGGGGTTGTTTTCCTTTATTAAAACTTTCTAATTTAAAAACTCTTTCTTCAAGGTTTTCATTAAAACTTTTCAAACTTTTGATCTCATTTTTTAGATTAGAAATCGCAATTATTAAAATATTAGCATTAGTTGGGGTTTTATCAACTTGCTTTTGTTTTAACATTCTTTTTACTTCAGCCATAGTATATGGATCTGAAGATTTTTGAATAAAATCATCAGGTTTGCTTGGAGGATTTTTTTTTCTAAAAGATCAAGGTTTTTTTATCGAATTTCAGGATCTCTAACAGATCTTAAAATCTCTATGAGATTATCATTATTAAGAACATTACTTTCTTGAAATTGTGAAATAATTTGACAAAGGTTATTACCTTCTTCTAGATCGGAGCTATCCTCCTATTATTATTATTATTAGTACTACTATTATTATTAGTACTACTATTATTATTACTATTAGTACTACTATTATTAGTACTACTATTATTATTATTATTATTATTATTATTATTATTATTATTATTATTATTATTATTATTATTATTATTATTATTATTATTATTATTATTATTATTATTATTATTATTATTATTATTATTATTATTATTATTATTATTATTATTATTATTATTATTATTATTATTATTATTATTATTATTATTAGTATTAGTACTATTATTATTATTAGTAGTATTAGTATTATTATTATTATTATTATTATTATTATTATTATTATTATTATTATTATTATTATTATTGTTGTTGTTGTTGTTGTTGTTGTTGTTGTTGTTGTTGTTGTTGTTGTTGTTGTTGTTGTTGTTGTTGTTGTTGTTGTTGTTGTTGTTGTTGTTGTTATTATTATTATTATTATTATTATTATTACTAAAAAAACTAGAATTATTTTATTAGTTAGTGAATAACAAAAGAGAAAATAGTCTATAATGATAAATATTTATAGTATTTAAATAGAGACAAATCTATATTACTTAGACAATGCATAAATAATATAAAAGTTGAAAAAAATATATAACTACATTTCAATACTTATTTTATAATTTTTTTTTCATTTTACTAAAAATAGCTTTTAATAAAAAAATTAATAAATAAAATTATAAAAAAAAACCCTAAATATTCTGAAGGGAAAAAATTAGCAAGACCCCCTTCATCTGGGAAATGTAGTTAAGGAAAGCCCCCTTCCTAAAATTAATTAGAGAAAACCCCTTTTGTTGTTAGCTTGAATAATTAATAAAGGTAACTATCAATTATACCCTTACTCCTAACCCCTTAATTTTGGCATCTCCTCTTTTAACGTTATTTTTTTCCTTTTCTTTTTTTCGATGTACATTCACTCTGCTCTCTTCTCTCACTCCTCATATCCTTTTTTTTTTCTCGATTCTCTTATCTTCTTCTCTCACTTCTCTCTCCTTTTTTACAAGATTAGATCGAAGGTTGGGATATATAATGAGTTGACGGCTAGGGTTACCCACAATATCTCGATTTTGCCAAGATTTCTTCTTCGTCGCCGCAGGTTATGGATTTTTAATTTGATTTTGCTGCGTCTTTTTCGATATGGCAGTGGTCATGAAGAAAATGGGTTTTTGTGGCTTTGTTTTGGTGGTTTTGATGGTGGTGGTTTTGTTTGGGCTGGTGGTGCAGATTGTAATTTATTTTATTTGTCCTTAAAAACCGTAAGAATATGCAATTGTGGTGGTGCTGAATATGCAATTGTGGTGGTGCTGGTGTGGTGTGGTGGTGATGGTTAGGTGGCGGCGTGGTGACAACGATGAGCAGATCTAGGGTTTTTTGATAGATCAGGCGGAGGGCGTGGGTAGAGAAATTCGCGCAGGCTCGACGCTTAATCGACTATGTGTTTTTTTGGTAGTCGATTAAGTTAATTGACTATGCTCTGGTAGTCGATTAAAGTGTTACTCGACTGCTTTGGTAGTCGATTAATGAATTTGATTTCTTTTTTTAATTCATTTTTGGATTCCTATTTGTATAATTCAATTACAATTTATGTATATTATTTGTTATGTAAAAATAACTATGTTTTTTTTTATTTTATAGTAGTCAGTTTCTTAATCTACTATACTTATATCGTATAGTCGATTAATACACTTGGTAGAGAAAAAAAAGTTTAAAAAACAAATAAAATTAAAAATTAATAAAATAAAATAAAAACGGCTGATGAGGTGGCATGACATAATTGGTGATAGTGTTGATGAGGTGGAAGAGACATAATTGGAAAAATGGGTGGCTGAAATTAGGGAAGGGTTTTTCTCAATTGGTGCAAAATTGTTTGAGGCTTTGAGCCTCTCCCTATTCAAAAAGAAGTGTCCGGGTTCGTTACTTTAACGGGCATTTGACTCACCATAATTTACATTCCTCCATCAAATACATGTTGGGCCAAGGGATGAAGGCCCTGTGGACGAGGGATTTCGTCTTTTGGTTCAAGTATTGAGGAGTTATATAAAATAATATAAAATATAAAATACCCCTATTCTAAAACAATATCAAAATATAAAAAAGGGTAAATTACAAACACTCCCCTCTTGTTTGGATAATTACATCTACCCCCTCAACTATGATTTTTTCTTACCTTTATGGTGCCAAATTCAACATGGTCATCTAGATTCCGTGAAATGTGCTCTAGTTTGTACTCTTTGTGTAAAAAATACAGTTTTCGATGCACCACAAACTGATATATACAAGCTAAAAATCACATATTATGGTCATCTTGCTTCATAATGTAGAGTTTGAATGGGATAAAACGGGTACAAAAGTGATAATATTCCATATAATCTCGAAGATTCCACTAAATTTGATGAGTAGATGGGGTGGTTGTAATTATCCAAACAAGAGGGGTGTTTTTGTAATTTGGTCATACCTCAGGAGGGTGTTTGTAATTTACCCTATAAAAAATCATTAACAAATTAACTCGAGAGGTGCTGTAATTACCCAAACAAGATGAAAGTATTTTTCCTCTAATTTGGCCATTAACTCGGGCCGTAATTTGCTCTATAATTTATGCATAAATTAGGCATATCAGAGAGGGCAAAAAGAAAAAAAAGAAAAAAAAAAAAAAAAACAGGCAAATAAGCTTGCCGACAAACCCAGTCAATGTATATTGACTTTGAGTTATAAAGAAGTGGTGGTGATTCATAACACATAAGAGCCACATATCCCACAATTTTGGTCTTCAACTCTTTTTCTTGTTACACAGGTTTGAGCTGTTGGTGAATTATCCGGAGAGAGAGAGATGGCTGCAGCTTATGCAGCTTTAGTTTCTCTCACTCACACTCTTGATCAGATCCTCCTCCACCCACCTCCCACCCTTCACATCAATTTTGACAGAAAACAGATTCAATCTCTACGAGATAAGGCCGAGTACATTTTGGAAGATTTTTTCAAAAATTATACAAGTAGTGGAGGCAACAAAGAGATGGAAGGCTTGGAGACGATGATCGGTGATGCAGCATATGCAGCAGAATATATTGTTGAGTTCAATGTGATGAACCAAATTCTTGGAAGATCTTCAGCCGATAGAGAAGAAAGCTCCAATTTCTTGTTTGAAGCTGTAGAAATTTCAATACAAGAGTTCCTTTTCATTGAGAAAAAGTTGGTGAAATTGAAGAAAGATATGCAACGACCTAATAACTACTACTTAACAACAACAAAAGCTAGTTCTTCTTCTTCATCAAGGCCTCTTCTTCCGGCCGGTGGCAAAAACAACATGGTGGGATTCGATGACCACATGGTTGAAATCATGGGCGCTCTCTCCACCAACGAATCTAATCTTCGGATCATCTCTATTGTAGGAATGGGAGGCATAGGTAAGACTACCCTTGCCACTAATGTTTTTAACAATCCCTTTATTGTGGAGCACTTTCAGCTACGTGCTTGGTTTACGGTATCCCAGGAATATACTTACAAGAAGATTCTCCTAGGCCTTTTGCATCAGATCAACAATACATATCGAAATGCACATGAGATCGATGATGATGATGATGATTATGCAATAGGAGACAGACTGCACAAAACTCTATTTGGGAGGAAGTATTTGATAGTAATGGATGACATGTGGGATATCAAAGCATGTGATATGGTAAAAAGGTTCCTTCCTGATAATAATAATGGAAGTCGAATCTTGGTAACTACTAGGCTGATGAAGTTGGCTGTAGATATTGGATCTTGTAGCCCTTATCAACTGAATCTTCTAGAAAAATCACAGAGCTGGGATTTACTCCGTGAAAAGATATTTGCAGAAGAACGTTGCCCCGATGAATTGGAGGGAACTGGAAAAAGTATTGCGACAAAATGCAGAGGACTTCCATTAGCCCTTGTTGTGATTGCTGGGGTTCTTGCAAAGTCCAAGACGGAAGAACATTGGGTGTCAATTGAAAAAGATGTAACTTCAGCAGTAAACAATCAAGATGATGAGTCCTGCATGAAGATACTATTGTTGAGCTATAATAACTTGCCTATACATCTAAAGCCTTGTTTCCTTTACTTTGCCGTGTTTCCTGAAGATCATATCATCATAGCGGAAAGGCTGGTCAGGTTGTGGGTTGCTGAAGGATTTATTAGGCAGTGTGGGCATAAAAGCTTAGAAGAAATTGGAAAGGAGTACTTGGAGGATCTTATTGATCGAAATCTCATTTTGGTCGATTGGCGGTTAGATACGGGAGAAGTGACATACTGCAACATTCATGATGTTTTAAGTAACCTATGCAGGAGAGAAGCTCAGAAAGACAATTTTATTCTCTCGTTCGCTAGAAAGCTTTATAACCCCGATATTTTAACTTTCATGAAGATCACACCACGTCTCAGCATTAATGGCGGAAAGTGGAAAGGGACGAAACATAAGCCATATACATCACAGATACCTACACGGTCTTTGTTATGCTTCTCTAAAGGGGCTTCAACTGATTACACGGCTCGTCGGTTTCCATTACTACGAGTATTGGATGTAGTTGATATATATCCCAAAGATGAGATTCTACAGCTAATTAACTCAAGGTATGTTTCTTGCATGTGTCCGATGATGTCGATGTCGTCTTCAATATCCCGACTTTGGAGCCTACAAACATTAGTTGTTGATGGAGAGTTGATTCTGCCAGGTGAGATATGGCAGATGTCCCAACTTCGACATGTTGTGGCCAACTCTATTATCTTGCCCGATCCTCCGCCTCCAGATAATGTCCAGAAAATCATACTTCTTGAAAATTTACAAACACTTTCAAGAGTCGCAGATTTTGAATGCACTGAAGCGGTAATTAATAGAATCCCAAATGTGAAGAAGTTGGAAATTGTTTGTGGGACAACTGGATCTAATTGTTTAAGGAATCTTGGACTTCTCCATAAACTCGAACAACTTTACCTGGAATTAATTACTGGTACTCGTTGTTGTGGAGAAATTGTCTTCCCAAGTTCACTTAAAGGGTTGATATTAAGTGAATGCAAGATTCCTTGGGAAGATATGTCAGTTGTTGGTTCTTTGCCCAACCTTCAAGTTCTCGAGTTGCGCAAAAATGCTGCTATAGGGAAAAAGTGGATTCCAAAAGAAGGGGAGTCACTCGACTGAAGTTCCTATGGATTCACAAGCGTGAATTGGAGATATGGGAAGCAGACAATACACATTTCCCATGTCTAGAGGAGCTACATCTTGGATGCTTAAACCTCAAGAAGATCCCTTCGGATTTTGCCGAAATATTACCACTTCAAGTAATTGACTTACTTCACTATAGCAGCAATGACCTTTGGGAATCTGCAAATGAAATATCAGAGCGACGAAAGAACCTAGATTACGATGCTCTTTATGTTCAAAGTTTTACATTTGGAGTGCTCAAAATTTTGGTGAAGAGAGGTATTAATCTTGTTGTTGGTGGTGGAGATCCTTATGTTGTTATCACGATGGGCGATCAGGTTTCGTGTTCCTACTTTTGATGTTTTTTTTTGTTCATTAATGTTATTTTCACCCTCTTCATAATATTCTTTTAGATAAAAAGGATAACAAATTTGCATTAAATATTTTGTCATCCGAATTTTCAAAAACAAATTTGAAATTTAGTACAAATCTTTATGATGCAGAGTGTGGAGACTCGTGTTGTGACAAATGATGTTCATCCTATATGGGATGAGGTACTCACAATTTACGTTTTCGATTCTAGCCGTCCAGTTTCTCTGGTGAGATTCTCTAATTTAAGATAAAAATAAATTTGGCAACTAGTTTTGCAATATTTATTTCACCCCATTTTTCTTTGTAGATCCAAAATCTGTAGTTTCAAATATGTTATGTGTATATGCTGATTCATAGTTTGTGTATAATGGTTGTAGACAGTGCGAGACCACAACAAGTTGAGCAACATGGATAACAAGATGGGTAATGCAGTGATTGATATTAAACCATTATTAGAAGCCGGTTGGGTGCATCAAAATGGCCTTCCAAACGGTACAACAATCACAAGAATATTGCCTTCAAGCTCCAATTGCCTGTCTAAAGAAAGTTCCATTGTCTGGGAAAATGGGAGAGTAATACAGGACATGTGCTTGAGATTGGAAAATGCCGAATGTGGCCAAGTCGAACTTCAACTCTGGTGGATTGATTAAATAGAATCTGGTGAAATTGAACTTCGGTCGAGTGGTTGAAGTTCCTACTTCCACTAATTTAAGGGTGTGGTTGGATCAAATTAAACATTGAGTAAAATAATGAAATTGCAATGTAAAATAATTTATACGTTTAACGAAATCATATATTTAAATGGAAATTTTGTTTTTTGTGTAGTTTCGGACATGTATAGTAATTTTTTTAATTCATAGGAGGTATAGAAGAAGAATAAATAAATGTAACATCAATTTGATTAATAAAATCGAAATGGCTAGTCCAAATAATTGGAGAAGAATGTAGTAGAAGGTGACTCGTTGGAGGTTATATTGCCACAGTTAGTGAATCTTAAAATTCCGAAACTCCATACATATGACTATCATAGAGGATATCGAGCGGGCGAGTGAGTGGTTTGAGCATTTTTGGACACATCACGTTTCAGGGGAGGCCAAATAAGTAGCTCATGAAGTAACAACTTTGTCGAAGACGGATAATTTATCTATTTAAGTGATCTATGTAGGAGAGAAGCTCAGAAAGATAATTTTATAGTCCCTTCAAAACTGGTAACCACAATGCTTCACCTTCGGAATTAATGGTGGCCAATGGAAAGATATGACACTAACGCCATCTATTCAGTCTTTCTTAACCTTCTTTTCTGCGAATTTGTCTACTTATACTGCTCATCGGTCTCCGTTACTACGGGTATTGGATGTGGTTGATAGATATGTCTCTTGCACGGGTTTGATCTTTATGTCGTCGTTTATATTATCCCGACTTTGGAGCCTACAAACCTTAGTTGTTGGTGGAGAGTTGACTCTACCTATTGAGATGTGGCAGATCCTCCTTCACGTGGTGAAAAAATCACAGTTCTTGAAAATCTAAAAACACATTCAATAGTCAAAGATTTCGAATGTCCTAAAGAGGTAACTAAACGAATCCTGAATCTGAAAAAGTTGGGAATTGTTTGTCCTGCAATTGGATCTTATTGTTTAAGCAATCTCGTCTTTCTCCATAAACTTGAATCACTTAGTCTCGCATTTGTTGGTACGCTTGGTCTTTCCAAGTTCACTTAAAAAGTTGGCCTTCTGAATGCAAGAGAAGATATGTCCATTGTTGGTTCATTACCAAATCTTGAAGTTCTCAAACTGCGGTCGAATTCCGCTGTAGGGCAAAAGTGGATTTCAAATGAAGGGGAATTCGCTCGACTCAAGTGCTTGTTGATTCATGAGTGTGAGTTGGAGATTTGGGAATCAGACAATACACATTTCCCATGTCTTGAGCAAATACATCTCGGAATCGTGAGACTGAATGAGTTCCCTTCAGATTTTGCTGAAATATTACCGCTTCAAGTGATCGACTTACACCGCTGCGAAAATTCCCTTTTGACATCGGCACAGGAAGTATCAGAGCAACGAGAGAACCTAGGATACGATGCTCTTCAAATTCGAGCTTTAATGCCTGGACTGCTCAAAATTTATGTGCAGAGAGGTATCAATCTTGCTGGTCGCAATCACCCCAAGAGAAATCCTTATGTTGCTGTCAGAATATCCAAACAGGTTTTGTGTTTTTACTAAAGATATTTGGTGTTCTTTCTCGTATGGGTTTTCGATCTTTTATGCTTTCCTTTTTTACAAAAACGAATTGCAATTTACTATATATAAATGATTGCGCTGCAGATTCTGAAGACTTGTGTTGTCAGAAAGACTGTTAATCCCGAATGGCATGACGATTTGACAGTTGCTGTTTTAGATCCTAGTCAAACAATTTATGTGGTCAGAGCCTCTTTCATTAACATAATAAATGATGTCACTTAATATGAGGGATTTGTTTTCTTATTTCTAGAAATAACTACTATATAACACAATATATTGTTTGGGGTATTTATGTCTATTTACTTAATATTTTTATTAACTAATATTATGTTTTTTGGTTAAGGGACCTACAACTATAATCATCTAATAAATTGGACTTCCACCTATATAGTTGGGATGAGGGGAGTCTAACTAATTATCCCATAAAAGTAAGGCCCTAGGAAGTTTTTTCCTCTTATTTGATAGTTAAATTGTAATTTATTTAATTAATTATTATTTTTTTATTTTATATCATCAAGTTTAATAATCCATTAATTATCCAGATTTTTTGTTCCCAAATCTACGTATTTTTCCCACTAAAATTATTATTTTACTTAATATTATTTTTATGGAAATATTATTTAATAATTTAGAAAATATTTAGTTCTTATCTTATAGTATTAATAAAAATAAGGGTTAACGGGTTATAACCCCCTCATTAGCAAAAATATTAGAACTAGGTACCAAGATTTCTTTTAATATGGTGCAACCCCCTCCATTTTACGTATCCCAATACTATCCGTACATTTTTCTTTTGAACTAGACCCCCCTCCCTTTAAATAAGACCGGTCAACTAATTCTCTCTCTCTCTCTCTCTCTCTCTCTCTCTCTCTCTCTCTCTCTCTCTCTCTCTCTCTCTCTCTCTCTCTCTTCTTTAATTATTTTAATCCTTTTAAATATATTTCGATCTTTTTTTACTTTTACCTTTTTTTTTTGGAAAGATCTACGAAATATTAGTAAACAACTAAATTAATGAATTTAACTACAGACTTTAGTAGTCAACTATAATATTCTACTAGTTTGCTATAAAATTGTGTCGGTCAACTACAAAATAGTGAAAGTTAACTATGAAAGTTTAATAGTTAGTTATATATTGTGATAGTTAACTACTAAATTATAGTAGTCAATAATCATTTATATACCATAATTTTAAGACCAAAACTCATCACCCTCAAATTATTCAACCATCGACAAGTAATTCCAACACTTTCACAATTACGTCCAAAGTCCCAAACGATCTCAACTATATTATTCTTCTAGTTTGCTATAAAATTGTGTCAGTCAACTACAAAATAGTGAAAGTTAACTATGAAATTTTAATAGTTAGCTATAAATTGTGATAGTTAACTACTAATTTATAGTAGTCAGTGGTCATTTCTGTACCATAATTTTATGACCAAAATTCACCACCGTAAAATTATTTATCCATCGGTAAGTAATTCCAACACTTTCACAATTACGCCTAAAGTCCCAAATAATCTCAATAGTCTGCAGCATATGGATACCTCCTAAAAAACAAATTTCCACAATACAATTATCACTAGCCGTAATTTTCGTTGAAAATTAGAACTGAGCCAATGAAATGAGCATAAGGATCCAAGACAATAATGCAAGACTCTAGTGGCGGAGATTTTTGAGTTAGAAAATCAGTGACGGGGGTGCGTTAAGAAAGAGCGGCGGCAGATGCTGCTTCGTCAGAAAACAGATCTGAATGTTTCATTGTTACTAGACTGGGTGAAACAATGGTAGCCATGAAGATGCGTCGGCTATGGATCCGTCAATTTTGGTAGAGAAGATATATAAGTCGATTTTAGTAGAGAAGAGAGAAAGAGCGAATGATTCGAGAGAAAGAAAAGAAAAGAGAAATAGAAAGAGACGTATCAGGGAAGAGAGAGAGGGAGAGAGAAAGTGAATGAGAGAAAGAGGAAAAAAAAGAAACGTAAAAAATATAAAAAGAGGGGGGAGGAGAGAGAAAGAAAGGGACAGTTGAGAAGAGAGAGAAATAGTAGGAGAAGAGAGAACAAAATTGGAATAATAAACACATGAGTGGGTCTCACAATTCCTACTGTTGATTTTAGATTTCTCTACAAATAGTGAATATTATAATGGGCATGGACTCTATTATTTTGTGTATTGAGGGGGTTATTCCTCATTTTCCCTAAAAATAATGTTGCTCCTGGTAAGTCCTAGGAAATTCTTCCAGCTCATTTGATAGTTACAATTGCCATTTATTTATTTAGTTTTGGTTTATTTCATTTATATAATCAAGTGTAATATATCCGTTAAGTACCTCATGTTTTGGCCTTACTATTAGAGTAGGTGACCAACAAGCCAACTTGTGGCTGTGGTCTTTCCATTTATTCTTCTAATAAATAATCATTTTTTGTATTAATGATAAAACACTTTGGCATTCTATATCTTTGTCCTTTGTTCAAACATAGATATATTCCTTACAGTTATTACAAGCACTTGTAATTGATCTTTTAGGATCGTGAGATATTTACTTAAGTATTATAACTGTTAA